GGGGGAGGGCCATGGAAAAATTTTTTACCGGACCATTTTGCACCAGCCCTCCCCCCCCGGTAAATATCGTACAGTCCCTAATATGAGACGTTCTGCCGAAGTGCTGTGAACAATACATTACAGGTTCCACGCAGGTGCAGTACGCTCTGCCGACGTGCTGTTACCACTAATACATGTACCAGTCTTCTGGTCAGCCTGAAATTTTTCCTGTACTGTCATCTCAATTCTGTTTGACGTAACATCATGTCATGGGCAAGAGGCATCCCCCCCTAGGGAGGTCTGGGGCATGCTCCCCTTGAAATCTTGACCCTCTGATGAAGTTTAGACATCCAGGTACATAATATTTGAAGAAAAATCAAACTCTACTACTGGATAAATTGCAGAGATTACTCCTGGACGTTTTGAGTGACAGCTATCATGTTTTGCAGCATTACTGAATGAACTGAGAGCACAAGGCGATACATATATGAATGAAACTTTATTGCATGTTCATTCCCCGGAGGGATAAATGCATGGATGTACAATGTACTAGAGAGTGCTAAAACAATAGTAATATAAAAGGCTAACATTAGGTCTAAGGTATACAATGCTAAAAATAAGATAAAAAGAAATATAAATATAAGTGGTATTGATCTAAGTTCTAATGGCTTCTTCTCTCTTTTTGAAACATTTTGAAATATACTTACATACTTCATTGATGACGTCTATATTTGTACATGATATAATATATTTAAAGGTGTCTTCCTTTGATAATGTTTTACATTTTTTGTCGAGCTTAATTGAACTGAACAGTGATTTACGTTCGTTATCATATAATTTACAGTCAAGCATAAAATGCGATTCATCTTCAATACACGAATTGTTACAGAATGTACACAGTCTATCTTGTAACGGTGTACGGCTATGCCTGCCAGATTCTATGTGTAGAGGGTGGTCGCTAATACGGAGTTTACACATGGCTCTGCGGTTTTCAAAATTTGGGATGTCTAAATATGGTTCTCTGTCGTATAGTACTTTGAATGTTTTGTATGTTCTCAGTTTGTTGCCTTGATTTTTCCTTTGTCCTTGTGCTTGTAGTGCTGAGTTGAATTTCTGGATGAATATATCTTTTAATCTTTGTCTTAGTTCATGCAGATGGAATGGTTTGTTAATATAGTCATGTGTATATAGGCAGGCATAGCCGGACTCCTCTAAAATTGTCTTCATGTTCAACAACCAACAGGGTACTTTACTTCTAACAAGGTCTTTTTGTACTATGTAAGCTTCATACTGAAGACTTTCAACGGGAACATTTCTAACTAATCTATAATAATAACTGTACATTCTACAATACGCTTCAATCCATAGGGGGAAGCGGCCAAGTTCAGCTCTACTGGCATAGTTACTAGCGTTTCTTCTTAATCCTAGAATTTGTTTACAGAATTTTAAGTGTGTTTGTTCAAGCGGCGAGTTATCATTTAATCTGCTGTTGCACCACACGTCCGCCCCGTACAGTAATATAGGGACAACACACTGATCAAAAGCTTACAGTAAACTGATATAGGCGCCCTAGTGTCTCCTAGAGTACATTTAATACTGAACAACGCCCGTAAGGCCTTCTTTTGTAGTAATTTCATCGCTGTGTTAAAGTTACATCCAGCTGTAAAGACTACACCTAAGTAAGAATAAGACGAAACTACTTCTATGTCTTTGGAGAATAATTTAAAGCTAAGTTTTGAAAAGGTGTGTCCTTTCTTATTAAATATAATAATCTTTGTTTTATTTAGGTTGACAGTTAGTTTCCACTTTTGGCAGTATCTAC